AAACATAACCCTAAAGTTCAAACAGCTTAACAAAATCATGTAGTAGTAATCCAAATTAACAGTAGTGGAATGACCATAAGATGAAAGCCAAGATAAAAATACTATACCAAAGTAAGGGTTTCATTACACTATCACAAGCAACAGCCTTTTAATTATGGAGCCCTTTAAAACTGTCATACTTCTCAAACTATCAGCCATCAATGTTTGTAACTTTTTAAAGTGAACCTTAGATTCAGAACAACACGTAGGAATGTTTATTTACTGGATGAGAAAACTAAACAAACTTCCATTTTATGTGCAGTTGAAACAGATGACATAGTTCCAAAGACTATTTTAATAAATCTGTCATGGGTAAGGAAGACAAAAACTTACCATTCTTCAATCAACATTGTTCGGCTTCTGTTAGAATAGTTTCAGACTTATTTAACATTCCATATTCCACTCATTTAGCAAAATAGTTACTAATCTACTGCAGTGAGCCATAGACTGTTATGCTATGAAAATAACAACAAAAGCAACAACAGACTGAAACAAACAAAAAATTCACCAAAAATATTTATTATTAATATTGGGGCAAAAGCAAGCAAATAACCCAAGTGCATAAAATATTAAAAATGAAAAAGGAAATTTGAATAAGTTCCTTTCTCCCCTACCCAAACATGATCACATTATTCTTAACTTAATAATAGCTATCATTCCCTCGGTCTATAAACTAGTACTCAATTATGTGAATTGTAAAAGAGAAATATGAAATGAGCAACTCCACCATTTGTAATTAGATCTCTACTCTTTAGAAGCCCCTCAAGCTACCTTTAAAACCCAGGTCTTTAACACACAGTTCTGGGAATTTCTGCGGGAATTAAGATGCATAACAAAACAAAATGCATGGAACATTTTTGTGGTATGCATTTTTCCAGAATGGATAACAGGACAGCTACATGAAACTGAATTAACTAACACCTGCAAGTTTGGCTAACAAACTGAGTACATGTCTGTCTATGTGTGTGTACCATAACCTGAAGATCTAAATTCTCTAACACAATAGTTTTTTAGAATCTTTGCTAGGAAGCATGAAAAGTTAAAATCCTTGCCTTTTAATTTTGAAGTAAAGAGAAGACAAATTAAAGTGTTCTCTTTTATCAATGATATTATTTTCAAAATTGTTTTTTGGAGGGTGGGAGAGATGATGATTCTGATTATTTAAGTTACGCCCCTGTTCTAATTACTTTCTCATTAAAAGTCAACTTCTGAATTAACATTTAAAACCATTATTCAAACAGTAATGTGAAAATAATCAAAAACGCTACCTGCAATGTGTCTATTCCCTTCCACACATAACAGTTTAACAGTCTCAGTGTAAATGGTATATGTCCTCTTCAACTGGAGATTTCAATTGAGATTGGATTATTCTATGACTGTGGTAGACAGCATGCTAAAATGTGTGACGTGAGTCTTAAGTCTGTGTGTCTAAATATCTAAGTGGCTCTCAATATGCTACTCAGTTGGAGTTTGGACTAGATAATTGATTCTCAAAGTGTGGTCCCTGGAAAAGCAACATCATGATCACTTAGAAACTTGTCAGAAATGAAAATTGTGAGACCCTACCCCAGACCCACTGAATAAGAAACCGGAGGAGGGGCCCAGCATTATGTGTTTTAACCTCCAGGTAGTTCTGGTATGTGGTTAAGTTTGAGAACCTCTGGACTAGATGATTCCTATAGCCTTCTCAAACCATCAAAATCCTATAGTTACTAGATCAAATATCTCTAGATAGTTAGTCTAGAACTAGCACCATGTTTCATTAAATGCATTAAATCTTTTCTAGTAGTCTGAATAAAATATCATAATCAAGAATACCACATTTTATTGGTAGTATTTAAAAATTTGCTACATTTTTTCAAAGACAAAATTTATATTAGCAAGCTTTTCTCAGTTATGCAGGGTCTGGTAAAAGATTTAATGCATTTAATGAAACATGGTGCTAGTTCCAGACTAACTGTGACATGTTTGATATCATTTTAACTAACAGTGGTGATATCCAAATAAAATCTTGGTTCCATTCATATTTATCATGCAGGAACTTATTCCAGCTGTTGTGAAAAATAAATCTATGCTTATATGGCTGTTAAGGTCTAAGCACTTTTGCATCTATTTCTCAAGACCAGCAGCTACATATAGCTTTCCTTCACTCTCCCATCCCCCGAAATACTGGAATATAACTTAAAAGGAGATACAATAATAAAACTAGCTGAAGAGTACAAACAGATGAGGCATTTTAGGATTCCCAATTACAGGAAATATTGACAAATCAAGAAGCATTCCCATACATTTAAAGAATTCTAACCCGAAATAGATATCGCCCCCAATGTGATTCACTAAAGTCTATTTCAGCAGTTAACATGGAAATTGTTTTATCTAAGAACCATAACTCCTGAAGACAAAGTGTTAGATTTAAGATACCTTTAACTTTCCTGAGGCTATTACAACAGGACAAAAATAATCCTTTGAAATGACATAAAACCTGAATGACTGTCAGGGACCAAAAGGAAAAGCTGTTAAAAAAAACGGCAGGGGTCAAGTTTAAAAGTCAGCTTTTGCTCCCCAAGATAAAGACTCCTTTCCCACCCAATTTCTGTTTTGACAGGTGACAGCCTTACAAGCTTCTCCTTCCCTGACTCACTTCCTGTAACACTCTTAAGTCAACCCAACTTTTTCATTGAAACAAATGCTCTTATCTCTTCACGCCATAATACCAGAAGGGGTTCTTATTAGTCAAGTAAACTGACATATTCTTAAAAGCATTAAAGAAAAAACAAAAAACAAAGGAATGTCTCTAATTTCTCTCAATTTCCTCAAGAAAATAATGGAGATCACCCCAAACTGAGAACTATTTTCCTGCTGTAGGCACAAAAAAACACTGCTTTCACTGAGAATCCAAAAAGCATTTATTTTACAGTACTCAGTAAAAGCATATTAAAATCTTCTGCTCTGCCATCCTAGGCCTATAAAGAATTTAGTCATGCAAGTGACTAAATCCTGTGTGAAGGTTATTAATGCACCCAGCAACCTATTTCATTTCCAATTTTCCACTTTTAAATATTTCCTGTCAGGAGTGCATACATTTCTTAAACTAGTTAGATATTTGACTGCATTTTATGTCAAAAAGACTCCAAAAAATAAAAAATAAGAGAACAGTCACCAAATACCTTTTAAAAAATCCTTCAGACAGTACCTGACACGTTTTCAGAATTTTCAAAACTTTAGAACTACTAATGCAACTAAATTTACTAATTCAAGAATGAATCTTCGCAAAGGCATCACTTTGAGCGGTTTCTCTCCACTTCTCCTTTTAGAATACTTATAATGTTGCCTTCCAATTGTGTTTGATATTAAACAAGTGAGATCAGAGTGAAAAAAAATTGCTGTAGGATCATCGCAGGCAAAATTCTCTATTCCTCTACACTGAAATACTGAGATATTTCCTGAGCCAAAACAAACAAAAACCAACAAAATACCCCCCGCATTTTAAGGCAAGATATGTTAGCACAGCTTTAAAGAAATCTATGGACTATAATTTCCTTTGGTTTTGTCAAGGGAATAAATCCCTTTGTCAAAAGATTCTTCAGACTTCAGCTACACTTCATAGATCTCCATAGACATACCTTTTCTTTTATTCTGTAGAGGTTATATTCTGACTACCTTAAGAAAAACAATATAAAACATAAAAAGCTCACACTGCCTCCTACTGTTAGAAGGAAAAACTTACGAGGTCAAATACTTGATCCACAGACTGTGGTGTAATTGAGAACAAGGGAACCGTCATAGCCTGCTTCTTTTATTTTTTAATCTATCTATCTACATCCAAATCAAAAAACCTCAAAAGGACTGAGATATTGTCTACAATCCATACAAATGTACTGCAAAAAACGCTACTAGGTATGACTTCAGAATTGGAAATCATCTTCCTCAACCAAACATGCTTTTAACTTAATATATGATGTAAACCAGAAAAATAAAAGAGAGAGGGAGAAATAAAAAGTGCCACCTCAGTTTGCTAGATGGATAGGTACTTCCCCAGCTCTAAGGCAGTAATAGCAGTTGGTTTCATCCTTTCCTGCCTACAGTGAGGTAAACTAGTTCCATGACAGCAGAACAGATTCAGTATACCTGCTTATCTTGTAGTTAAATGGTACAGCCATACCCAGGCTTCCTAGACCCTAATGATTTTCTCCACTATTGAAGAAGCTAGGAGTAATGTCCCCCAACTTATCATGGAGCTACTTCTGTAAATTTGACAAACAACTCCTGAAGGCATCATGAACCTGCCCCTGTCCACCTCAGCCATGATACTGTATGGAATCACTAAATATGAAACACAGAAACACAAACAATAGTTTTGGGTTTCTTTAAAAATGACATCTGTATTAAAAGTCGTAAAATGAAAAGACAATGATTAAACGCAAGGAATTAAAAATTACAATTAGAATTCTCTTAGTACATCACAACAGTAAAATTTTGCTCTTTGCTTCTGGAGGAACACCCTATAACAGACAGTCAAAAAAATTTAGAATATAAAAGGGGAGCTGAATACCTGAAAATTTGAACAAAATAAAGCAAAAAAAAATTGGGAAAGCTCATTGCAAGGCAGAAATTACATCTTAAAGGCTGAAAATAATAAAGAAATTCACTGAACAACAGGCCCTATTGTCCTGGCTCCTTCAGGAAGATTACTGAAAGGAAACTGAGCAGAGATTTGGGGAACAGCAGATTCTGGGATACGGTGGGAAGTTCACAGGTTGGCACCGGCTGGAACAGCTGAGTTTTGAAGGCACTCTGCAGACACAGGGGTGCTGGGAGCCCTGAATCACATTTACAAAGTCTTTGTACTGTATTTTAAAAAGCTAGTCATTAAAATCTGTTACTGCCAACCACAAAAAAAAAAAAAAACCCAAAAAGCTAAACTTAAAAAAATACACACACACAATAGTACACACAAAATGTGCAGGTCTGTAACATTTTTTTCACAGCTGATAAAAAAGAAAATACTACCATTATCCCCCAGACTCCCCTTTCATACAGTAGGTAAACAAAATAGATTTTTTTTTCCCCCACAAATATCAGCAGACACTTTCTGGCACCCCACACTGTATTGGCATCAGTGTGTTACAGTCCCAGTTCAGATGTGCAATACTTCAGATTGGATACACTGTAACAAGAATCCAACTTTGCATAGACATCCTCAGAATCGCAATCAGTCATGGGGTTGCCCTTCCAAGCTGGCAGAAAAGGAACCCGATCTTAATTTCCAACTACTCCTGGAAAACAAGGATAAAACCAAAAGTTTCTTCCTCTGCTCCTGCTCCTTCATATATGGTTCTCCCGGACTTCCTTCCATGTATGTAAAACTTGGAACTAGAAAACGGTTGTTGACCAAAAAAAAAAAAGAAAGAAAGAAACATCTTTCCACCTTCTCTTCCTTTTTCTCCATCTTCTCCACCCCCACCCCCACCCCCAAGGCTGAAACTTTTGCTTGCCGGGTATCAAGCTGCTAATGCAGTACCCTAACGGTTACTTAAACGGGGAAATAACGTGTCAACCAAAACTGAATGAGAAACGTACAAGCTGCAAAGAGCCACATTCCCATCAGGGTCTCGGATGGTAAAGGCGGGACACCCCCTCGGACACAGGGCAGAGGCAGGAGATGCCGGCCTCGGAGGCCAGCGGGGTTCCCGGGACACCCCGGCCGATGCAAAGTCGTCTCCAACCTCAAAGCAAGAAGACAAATCACATTTAGAGTCGGGTGCGTTTGGCTTTTGTGCGCGGCGCGCGGCCGGCCGGCGCCTCAGAGGATCACGCAGGCCGAGCAGCAGCCCTCGTCGCCGTTGGGCTGCGCCGCGTAGTTCATCTGCCGCACGATCTCGGCGAACAGCTCGTCCACCGAGGCTTTGTTTTTGGCCGACGTCTCCATGAAGGGACAGCTCCACTCCTCGGCCAGGGCCTTGCCCTCGCCATACGAGACCTCGCGCTCGCCCTCCAGGTCCACCTTGTTGCCCACCAGGATCATGGGCACCCGCTCGTACCGCTTCACGCGGATGATCTGGTCCCGCATGGGCTTGATGTCCTGGAAGCTCTGCTGGTTGACGAGGCTGTAGACGAGGATGAAGCCCTGGCCGTTCTTGATGTACAGGTCCCGCATGGACGCGAACTGCTCCGTGCCCGCCGTGTCCAGGATCTCCAGCACCGACGGCGACGAGTCCACCTCGATCTCCTTGCGGTAGAAGTCCTCGATGGTGGGGTCGTACTTCTCGATGAAGGAGCCGGTCACGAACTGCACGGTGAGCGCGGACTTGCCCACGCCGCCCGAGCCTAGCACCACCACTTTATACTCTCTCATGGCTCCGTCAGCGCTCTCGCCGAGCCTCCGCGGCCCCGTCGGGGCTGCGCGCCGGGGAAGGCAGAGCTTGGCGGCCGGACCTCTCTTCCTGTTCCTCAGCTCCGCAGGAAAAACCCAGCAGAGGGTGGCCGGGGAGCGCGGGGGCCAGAATCACCGAGCGGGGGCCGGGCGCCGCGCCGGCCG